TCAAGGATTTGGGGGTGATATCTTTTATTCAACCACTTGTGTAGTTGGGAGAGGTCCAATAAACTGACCCCAGCGCTCTTTCCTGCCCAGGGCAGGGGGTCAGACTCGATGACCTTCCGAGGCCCTTTCTGACCCTAACATCTATGAATAAAAATGACCCCCTAAAAACTCCTTATCTCATATTTCCTGGATTATCATGGTTACAACATCACTCCAAGTACAGAGTTGTCCTTTCAGTGCAAGAAGAAACAGCTTTCACACTGTCATGATGCACTGTAGGCTGCACGCACACTTATAAAACTGTGTGATATTTGCATTGTAAAACATCAGAATCACCCGTCCTATAGTGTGGACAAAGCACAACACAGGACAGCAGCTTTTAGTCCCCTGAGAAGGAGATTTGTGGCAAGCCGCTGGCTGGAAGGATTCACGAAGGACGTATATTTTAAGGAGAGAGAAGGGAAGGTTGGTTAGAAAAGGGGGAGGAAATCAGAGCAGGAATAAGAGGGAGTCTAATGAATCTAAGAAACCAAGGAAGGGAGAAGGAGATAAAAAGAACAGGAATGAGAAAAGACCCATAGGACTGATGGCAGAGATGTAGTTTCCAGGTACATCTAAGGATCAATCTGAAATGTTTTGAAGCCTTGCCCTTCTCCTTTATTCTCCTGATAAAAGTAGCACGGCACGGTCTTCAGATGACATGGAGGAGGGGGCCGCGCCTGGCCTCTCTCCCTTGCTCTCACAGCCCCAGAGACAGGGCAGAGGCTGCAACGAAGGGGCTGGAGGGTGGTGTGGCAGGTGGGAGCGTTAAGGGAGCTGCAGGGGGTTTCATGGCCGTTGGCAGCTCTTTGGAGAGAAGCTCTCGCAATGGAGCTCCAGCACCGCGGTTGGAAGCAGTATTGCAGGCGAGAAGTTTTTGCTGTGCAAGCAGCATGATTTTAATGCTATCCTTGTTAAACCAGCATCCTGTTGCCTGGAGCCACTGTGGGGCTGAAGTGACCACATTCTTGCTGGGGGAAGGCAGGCAAGAAGGGGCTCTGGCACATTAGTGCATGTCTAAAGGCATCGATGGCGGCTGGTGCGCTGTAAGATCCTGTGTTTTGAACTGCCTTTGGCTGCATCTATTCAGGATCAGCCCAAGAAAAAGGCAGGCCTCAATGAGCAAGGCACTGACTCCTTTTACCAGGAGAATAAAAATTCTCCAGCCAGCTCAAAAGAAAACCAACGCTTCCACCAAAAAATTTGTTAAAGTTCACAAGTTTTTATGAAAAGTTGCACTTTTGACAAATCACCCTTTTCCAACAACACAACAGTGCATCCAAAAAACCTCCAGCCAGCTACAATATGAAATACCACCAGGCCTACAAATTCAGGATCATCACGGCAGGCCTCAATGAGCAAGGTACCAACAGGCGTCGACAGGAGACTGGAGCCAGTACTTTCCTGCGAGGATCCTGAAGCTGCAGGTATGGTGGTATTTCATATGTTAGCTGGCTGGAGAATTTTTGGATGTGCTGTTGTGTTGTTGGGCAAGGGTGATGTGTCAAACGTGCAACTTTTCATAGAAACTTGTCAACTTTGACAATTTTGGGGGGGAAAGAGTTGGTTTTCTTTCTTACATCTAGGATGGAGTTACCAGTCAGAAGGGAGAGAGAGTCCTCCAGAATAAATGATTGCTTGGGGAATTAGGATATTTGAGGCGATGTGGGAGGCATTTAGTAGAGCAGGGTCTTGAACTAGGGTGTCCAACATCCCACATGAATACTGCGGCGTGTAGATATTTTTTCCGCCACGAAAAATGCCGAGATTTCTAGTCTTTGTGTTGAAACCAGATACGTATTAATTTTGTGTGTGTGTGTTTGAAACAATTCTCGTTTTTTGGCCTGCTTCATATCTTCAGTTATTTCAAATAATAAGGTAAACCCATGGATATCTGGACTTAGCACTCTGCAGTGTATGGTAGAGTAAGGATGTGATTGCCATTTTATTAAATTTTTCCCTGGGGTGAAGGAAATAGGAAGTTGATTCTCTTGTAATCGGTATCTCTCTGGGTCATTGTACTTGTTAAATCCGTATATACAACGGGACTATCTAGTTACACTGAACAGATTACCTGCTGATTTGTACTTTGGGGATTTACTGATAATTGTGGATGAGGAATGCCAAACTCTTTCTGAACTGCAAGTGGAGGAATTAATTCCAACTGCACTCATTTACTTTCTAATGACAGCTAATATACTACCTAGGTCTTCATAGTTTTAGCATAGATAGCTGGAAATCTCTGTTCAGTGTTGCAATCTGGTTTTGCGGGCATTTCCACCTGTTGCTTCAATTGCACTGGGAATTACTCCTTTCCTGGTTTAATATCCTAGCCTTGCTGTGCACTCTTAATAAAGCAGCCACGTTTCACCCTCAGAGGTGGTTGCATTTCAGTGTTCAGAGAGACTGGCCTCAGCTGCATAGTTCAGATTGGATCCAAACTCCTGTAATGTCCTAGGATGTTATAATCCAGGGTTTTAGTTTGGGAATTTCTCCAGTTCAATTCCTAGTTTGTAAAACATTTTGGGATCCTTTGGGATGAAAGGCTCTCTCTCTACACTGAGGCAGTTCTGGTGAACGTAGGAGATTTCTTTTATATGGAATCAAACAAACTGGGAGGGACTGAAACGAAAAGCCAGATTCGGCCCTGGCGTAAGCAGAGCGATTCCATTATCGTCGGTGGAGTTGCACCAGGACTGAAGTTGGCTCCAAGTCTGTGTTGCAAACCGTCTGCGGGGTGTACAAAGAAAGAAAAGTACTGTACTTTGAACAGCAAACTTGTACATAGCAAAGCTACTTGCAGTACAGTATTTCTGCAGTGAACCTCAAAGGGATCAGATGAATGGAGCTGGGGGGGATGGGAGGGGACGGAGACCTGATAATATATTTCTGTCACCAACAAGAAAACCGGAACTGCTAGCTTGTTATAATTACATAACAGATGATATATTGTACAGCCTGTACCCTCTCTCCGAAAGGGTAGAGGTGGGCAAGCCAAAGAAGGCTTGAGCCTGGCTTGAGCTGAGGGGCTGGCTCTGGCCTGGCTCCATGCACATGAATAGAGACAAGTTAGGGAAGAGCCAAGCCAATGCGAATGTGTTGGCATTGCCCTACTCCCTGTTCACAGTAACTAGGTTGTTATACGTACGACAAAACTTCACGGAAGACCAAAGATTGGCTTCTCTTGCACTTGTGTGTAAATACAGGGAGGGGGAGAAAATGCGGGAGTCTTCACGTGTGGAGGGGCAGCCCTTGCATTCCTGGCATCGCCCCTGTACCGAGACGTAACTCCCGGTCCTCCTTAGCTAGCGCTGCAAGGTAAATCCTGTTTGTGCCACCCCTTTGCAGGCCCTAGCAAGGGCTGCCCCGTATCGACTCCACGCAGGCGTTCTCCGCGCAGTCCTCCACAGCGACGTGCTCCCCAGTGACCCGTGTTGGTGCAGCCCCGATGTACAGCTATGGCCAAGGATGGTACAGACTCCGAATGCAAGAAGAAGGGGGCATTCATGGCAATCCGGAGAGCACATTTAAAGCAGATTCAAGGAAGTGCTTTTCCACCTAAAAACATTACCTGGGGGACTCGTTGCCACAATTCTCTCTCGAGCTACATTTTCGCAGGAGCACCGACAAATTTAGCACCGAAACATTTAATGAGGAGGATGATGACAAAAAAGCATAAAAGTCTAGCAATATAATTTCCCCTCCCCTTTTTTCTGCTGGGGCAGAAAAAGCAGTTTATGTCTATTTTGGTGTTTTTATGTCCTTATCTCTCTCTCTCTTCTTTTTTGGCTTGCTACAAGGAGTTGTTATGAGAAAGCAAAGCTCTGGTAGTGAGTTTTACGCTTTGTTGTGAAGATTGTCAATTTAATGGCTAGTCTAATCTTCCACAGTAAAAAATCCCAAGGAACTGAATAAGCTCATCTTCTGCCCTTCCTAAACTGCACCGTTGCGGTTGACAACTGTGTTATTGCCAAAGACAGTAACTACCAAAGACGACTACTTTTTGGGCCAACTCCATGGAGGACTTCGAATATTAGGACTGAAGCTTTGAACTCGGCCTTGGATTAAGTGAGCATCCTTTTGAGTGAGGGGAGCAACAGGCTGGTGTATTTTTAGGTTACAGTTTGTAACCGAAAACTCAGTAGGACTTAATTTATTAAGTTTATATATGAATAATGAGGACACCCACAGTTACTTTAGACCGTAGAAATATTTTAGGGAGGTGATCCCCTTGTACTTCAAGGCAGAAACTGGCTATTTAATAGCTAACTACTAGATATATCAGTTGAACTGAGAGTAGCATGCTACATTATAAGGATTATATAGACATCATTGCTAATAGAGGATATTAGTGTAAAAAGTAGACATAACTTTTTCAGAACAGTTTTAACAACGTGGATTTTGTATAGCAAAGAAAAGTGACGCTTTTTGACCTTGAGAGAGCCTCTTTCTTGCTTTATTTCTGGGTGTATAATGGTTTTTGTGGCAGGCTCAGGATTGTAGATGCACCCAGTCACGAGGACAGTCCCCCACCGCTGCGAGCTCCTCTGATAGTTCAAGTGGGCGAGGTCTGTGGAATAGATGTGAAGGCTCACATCCTGCTGCTCGCCTGCAAGGGTGTCTGCACGACTAGAGAGGAATGTTGCTGTGTTACTCTGAATGATGTATGAAGGAATTTGGCATTTTATTTGCTTTAAAAAAATCCATTAAATTATACAGACATATAGCCTATATTAAAAGAAAGCAATCTAGGTTGTAAACTCAAGTCCTCAAAAGTGATCTAATATGAGAATGAAGGCTGCCTGTGCAACATCCATCTGGCCCTTTTGTGTGTTTGCAAACAATAGTTAAATGATGTAACGACATGGTATTTTTTCCACAAGCCCCTTCCTTCTTTCAGTGCACAAGATTGCCTATGATTTCTAAGAGCAGCTATTTAAGGATTTTGCTTTATCTTTGAGGTTCAACACGTGACCGTCGCTTTATTTTTACTGTGTGTTATTAAAACTCTGCTCTGAAGTGAGTTGTTCATTTTGGGCCCCTCTATGCATGCAGGTAAGGGTGTGATGGGCTCTCATGTGCCTCCTGCCATGCCACGTGTGCAGGCCAGGATGTGCAATGGTGGGATGGTACATTCAGTTTTATTGCACCCTATTGCCAGTGCAGGGAGAGCCCAATCCTGGGCTCCCAGCTGCAGGGGCACCCGATGCATCCCTAGGGCTAGGAGATGCAGCTGCTCTCAGCTCCTAACCTCAGAGATGCGTGAAAACCCCCTGGGGTGGGATATCAAACCCTGCCCCGCAAGGTCCTGGCACTGGGAGGCATGCATGTGGGAGCCCAGCGTTTACAGCAGTGGGACTTTGGATCAGGTCAGCACCCTACCGCTATCAGGACTGAGAGCTGTGGGACTCCCAGCCTCGGCTGGGCATGGTACACCCCTGAGGCTGGGAGCCAGGTCAGCTGACGGGGCTCCCGACCACAGGGGAGACCCTGCTACATGTGCAAATTAAATGCATTTTTGAGGTCTAACTTTATAGCTGGTTGGAGCTTTTTATGGTTTGAAAGCTCCTTTTCATGCATAGCTGGTCTTGAGGTAATTGCATAGTTAATTGGTTAACAGCGCCAATACCTATAATGTGTAGAGGGGGGCCTTTGTGATCGGCATATCTGTGATGCTCATAGCATCTGACACCCCGCCAAAAATATTCAGTGATTTATTTTTACAACACTGCTATTTGAAGGAGGTGGTATTGCTATGCCCATTTTACAGATAGAGAACTGAGAGAAATGATCGTGAAATTTTATCCATTGATTTTTTTTTTTTTTTTTTTTTTTTTTTTGGGGGGTGGGGGTGCCCAATCTGAGACACCAGTGACCTGAATTGTTGGAGTATTTAGCAATCGGTTTATTTGCTCAAACCACAGTTCCCACTAACTTTGGAAGCAACTCTGCAAGTCAGACCCCGGCACATCAAGTCTGGCCCCCAGAAAATAAGGAACGCACAACTGATGACTGCCTATGAAAAGTTTGGCTTAAGTGATCTGCCGAGTGTTACTTAAGAGTCCAGGGCATTGTTGGGGTGGAATTGGTTTCTCCAGGGCAACGTGCTTAACCCGGGTGCCAACCTCTCTCTTCCTACAAGCCCTGTGTCATTCACTGCACACCTTCCAACTTCTGCAAGAAATCAAGCAGGCTCCTTCACTGCATAACCCTAAGTCTTCTCCCTGAGCAGATCTGTCCTGTGCACTGTATGAGAGACATCCTGGGGAAAGAAAATGGTATATGGTTTTGAAATTAAAGACTACCATAGTGCATAGGCACAAAGAGAGGTGAATTAAGGTTACCTAGACAACAGTGATTTTGGCATCCCTTAACTTTTGACTTTGCAGGATCCCTAAAGTTCTTTTAACATAGATAAAGGCCCATAAAAATCACTGCCTACTTAAAATGCTCTCTATTAAAAGGGCATTATTTGTGTTGCAGTGTCAAGCGGTTCAGTTAGGAAATTCCATATTCACCGTCACTCACCTTTAATTCACCTCCCTTGTGCTCTGAACAAGGGAGGGGTTTCTGTGGACAAAATGAAAGACTGTAAATGTAAAATCAAAGACTCTTTTTTACATTTACAAAAAAGGGTGAATGAAAGCTGCAGAGCTGTCACCTCTTCACATTTGAATAATTCGTTTTATAACTTAACAGTCTTTTAATGGTGGGATCTTTTGTACATATTATTTGTATCATCAGATCTAGGAGTCTTAGTCAAGGACCAGGACTTTACTGTGTGAGACGCTCCAAAAATTGTAGAAAAAGGCTATCCCTTCCCCAAAGAGCTTAAAATCGAAGTATAAGATAAGAGACAACGGATTGGTACAAAAAGACAGGACATGGTGGGGAGGGGAATAAAAGGAAATGATAGTATTTCCCTGTATTGTGTGAGAAAGTGTTGGGCATCGGTGATATAGGCAACCCAGTAGCTGAGCTGCTGCTAGGTGTTTTGTGGGCACCATCCAGGGGAAAAAAAAGATAGCTGTAAGGCAATAATGAGGTTGGCACAGAGCATTTCTGGAGAGCTCCTGCCGTGCCGGATGGACAGTGTGTGGAAAAAGCATGAAGATATCTTCTTGAAAATGTAACAGGTGGGTGATAGATGGGCTGATCAAAGTCAGGAGCTGACATTTTGGTCGAGACTGAGAAATAATGGGTAGGTGGGGGTAGGCTATGCAGGGCCTTGCACATGGAGACAGGCAGCTGATGTTTGATGGGGTAGTGAAGGGGGAGCCAGCCGCGGGATGTAAAGAGCAGGGGTGACGCGGTCAGCGCAATGCGGGAGGAAAAATGATCTCAGCAGCAGAGATCTGAATGGATAGCAGCAGGGCAAGATTGCATTTGTCAAGGCCAGAGAAAAGGCTGTTGCAAAAATTGACGGGAGACATGGTGAGGCGGAGAGGAGAATTTTAGCTGGGTGGCTGAGTAGGAAAGGCTGCGTCTTGGAGATGTCATGCAGAAATGAACTGCGAGGCTTAGACTTAGGCTGGACGTGATGGCCAAGAGCAAGGTCAGAGCTGAAGAAAATGTGCAGGTTATGGGGCCTCAGTGACAGGCAGGAACGTGGTTTTGTTTGCAGTAATAAAATGAAGGACATGGGGAGAGAACATGGGGAGCGGAAAATAAAGAGCCCTTTTAGACGTGTGCAGCTGAAGCTGATGGCGAGACGTCCACGGGGTGGTGCTGGATGCAAACTGAGGTTTTAGGGCATGGACATATGCTCACGTGCAGAAGTTTTATAAAATAAGGGGGTGGAGGGTGGGGAGTGGACTGTAACAGTTAAATGTGCATCCGCCTGTAGCAATACAGCAAGCTAAATTGCCCCAGCTCTATCTTTGGATGAAGTAGGGTTAAAGTTGGAACATTTTTACTATACTTTTGATGGTTTAGGGCATAGTTTTGGGTGAGAACTAGGTTCATTAGTCTCCCCTGCCCAGGAGGTGGGGGGGCTCCTGTTTCCTGGAGTGAGGACGGACCGCTGGCCCATACGCTGGGTCCAGGGATGGGGAGGTACTTAGCCGGGAGCAGGAATTTGACCCAGCCCTGTTTTATGCCTAGTACTTCATCTGCTGCTGCTTCGGTGCATCACAGGCCCTGCCTTAGACAGCTCATGCTCAGTCATTATTCTGATACCCTGGTATAGTATAGCAACAACTTTCCTTAGGAGAAAAAGATGGAAAATGGAAATGGCAATTTTTAACAGTTGATCTCATCCAAGCTGGTACAGAATTTCAAAAGCCACATGCCGAATCCACACTGGATTTCAAAGACCTGCCATAATTTGGGGTTTACAGCTTTTCAAATAAAAGGTACTAAGTATTTTCTAAGGGAACATGTTAGTCAAGCTAAATATAGGCATCATGAAGTGCATAAGCACAGGAGAAAGCTACCTTGTGATAAAGGAGGGCAAGGTTTTACAGCATGTCAGCTCCTCCAAAGTTACTGCCCAAGGGCATGCCGTGGTAGATAAAAGCTAACTGCCCCTAGCCTCATCTGCACATGTGCTTTAATATGCATGAGCCTGTTTTAATGTGCATTAGAGTGTCACAAAAAACCCATGTGCTTTCACTAATGCACATTAAAATAGGCTAATGCACCTTTTTCTGGTACCTCACAATAGAGGGTGCCTACCTGTACATAGCAGGGAGTCTGCTCCGACATGCTGTAATTCCAGCATGTTGGAGCAGACTCAATTAATCGTCACGTGTATAAATGCCTGGAGGTACTAAACTCTAATGCACATTACCAAAAGCACATTTATTGATGTGCAGACGTGCCCACCCCAGGCTAACCTCCATTTCCGCAGGGTAAAGGTGTGTAACTCACCACTTATTGTGAGAGTACCTTACACACTGGAATTCATCGTGTTAACGTGTTTGTGTGCCTGTACCCCATGATAATTACTTGGACCGTGTTAGTGCCTCCAGTCCCTGAATGACACGATGATCCTATTGTGCTAGTTATTAAGCAAACATAATGAGGGTCAAGAACTTAATGTCTAAATATGCAAGGCAGGCAGAAGATGGGAAGAGAACTGGAGTCGGGAGCTAATTTGCACCAGCCAACATAGTAGCTAAGTGGCAGAGCCAACAAGGGAACCGAGGTCTCCTGACAAACAGCCCAGTCCCTCTCCACTGGACCCACCCAGCCTTTAATTTGGTTCAGACTTGTATATGCCCTTTGTTTATACACGTTTGCATGCCTATATCACATGTGAGGGTGCACAGTTTCTTCTAAAAGGAAAGGCAGAAAGCAGGCAGTAGCATAGCTGAGACCTGGGGGAAGAGGAGGAGAGCCACAAAAACAGCACAGCAGTCCATGCTGCCCCTTGAGCCACCGCTGTCCAAGGTGCAGAGGGCCCTGAAGGCAGGGTGGGTTGGTACCTTAGAGACTAATGGGCTCAGAGAGGCCTATGCTTTCATAGACAACAGCCTATTTTTTCAGATGTAGGGGGTTGCTTGTGCCTTCTGGTTGTCTTGAGAGTAACACAGCAACTACCTACTTGTCCACCTCCTATTCTTGGCACCTCCTTTGACCACTTTCATGCTTATTTTGGCCTAAACCTCCCCTGACCCCTTTGACCTGAGAGAGCCACCATTTCTTGCTGCTTCCTTCACGTCTTCCATTTTTCAAAAGTAAAGTTGCTGCTCCCCGAGCAGTCCTGATTTCAGTTCCCAAAATTCCCCCTGACTGGACCAGGACGGTTGGACTGGGACCCATCTTTAAATGGTCACCATGCCCTCTTGCAAAAACAACTAACATTGCACATTGGGAACAGACCCGATGCTTGACAATTTCTCCATTACAGTATGAACAGGGCAACTTGGAAGAAAGTTTTCCAAGCCTCACAAGACTTTGGCCTGAATGGTAGCGGAAGGCTCAAGAAAGGTGGTGAGAAGTTGCTTGCTTTATCTTGCTTGTCCTCTTAAATCAGTGCAGAAATATAGATGAACTTGAACCAAAATCCCCAACTCAACCATCTTGATCCTTGAGGAAGGTTCAGATCTTGCTCGTTTCTGCACAGAACCCTAAACTAATGCTGAGAAAAACGTCATCCTGCTTTTGTCTTCATGAGTGTTGATGATCTTATTAATCTCTCTGGTGATAATGGTTAGGCAGATTGTCTGCTGTGAACATTGGTAATTATGTTAATCATAATCATTTTTCGCTACTTCACCTTATCTATTTCTTGTATCCACCTGTATCTCTCATTATATTCCTATTTCTTTTACAGTGGTGCTGACTTATTTCTGTCACCCAATTGGGGCATCATTATGCTAGGTTCTTTTATAAGCTTAGGAAAAAGAAAAGCCTCTGTCCCCAAAATCGTACAAACTAAGTAAACAAGGCAAGGTGGAAGAGAGGTAGTATTGTCCTCATATTGCCAAAGGGGAATTGATCCACAAGAATATTAAAAAACTTGCCTGAGGCCGCACAGAAAATCTCTGGCTGAGCTCTGAATTGAACCCAGACTTGACTTTTTGAATTCCAGTTCAGTGCATCCTTGTGATCTTAGGGGAAGACGCTCTCTGCCACCCTTTCCTGGCGAGTCCTGGATGCAGGGCTGTTGAATGACAATGAAGCTTCATGTGCACCACTATTGCTGGGGTTGCTAACTGAGGAGTGAACCCTGCAAGGCTGAGACCTGCCACACTTGCTCCCCAACTGAAAGTAGTGTAGCTGTGTCAGCAGTGCTACCTGGCCCACCCACCAAGCCTGTGCTCTGTGTTTGGTGTGGGACTGAACAGGGTACGTCTCAGCTTGGTACTTGTTCCAGAGTTGGGTGGGGTATGCATATCTTTAGGGTATGTCTGCATGGCACAAGGCAGCCCTGTGCAGAGATGCCCTGTATTTGCCTTGCATGCACTTGCTTCTGAAATGTGGCCATGTGAATGGCATTTTGCACATGAGCTACTTAGCTCAGGACTGCGGGGCGAGGGCATCCACTGAGAACTTCTTACAAGGCTAGATGTACACCTTGCTGGGGTCGTTTGACCCCAGTGCTCTTTCCTGCCATGGCAGGGGGTCGGACTAGATGATCTACTTAGGTCCCTTCCAACCCTAGAAACTATGAAACTATGAGACAAAAGTTTGATGGAAGTGCTCTGCTTACATGGAAGGAGCAGCGAGGGGCTCCTATTGTGTAGGGAAGGGCTCAAAGCCCTAGTGACACAGCTGCACTCATGGGTTTCCATCAGTCACCAATGCATCTCTGCAGTGTAGTGACAGTGCTAAAATCCCAATCGCTGGGCAAGGCGCAGACCCTGATCTGGCAGTGCGATGCAGAGGTGAAACGTGTTACTACCCAGCACCTGTTCAGCCCTGACTGGGTTTGGAGCCTGGAGACCCCAATCTGGCATCGTGGCTAGAGGTGGCAGTACGGTGAGAGATGATACAGAGGTGGCGTTGCAGCTGGAGGTGACAACAAGGTGAAAGATGATGTCCTTGTGAAGAGATGCTACCCACACAAGCTTGTCCTTCTCTTTGTTGGAGACAGACCGGCCACATTGAATTTCTGAGCTCTGATACTTGCCTAAACCCTGGCAATAAACTATGAATGAGATACACCAGAGGGGAAAAAAGGGGGACATGAATTATCAGAGGAACAATTGTCCAGCAGACATGTGTGCTGACATCTGGGGAAACTGAGGCACGGACTACTACCCAACTGACTTACTCAAGCCAGCACTATTTGGCAATTTTTAAAGGAATCTTTATATAATTGAATCCATCCTTTGTCATTAGTGATAGTGCATGGGAGAAGGGTTAAAAGCGTCTTTAATCCCAAGGCCATCCTTCCTTAAACATGTTAGCCTGCCTATATAGCAAACACTTCAGGGCTGAATAGAATAGAAGTACCCGGAAGATAGCAGTGCCAGTTTTACTCCTGTGAGGACAATAAAATGTTTGAGTAAAGTTTAGTAATCAGCTTGAGGTATTTAAAAGGAGGATAGCTTTCACTTGAGAGCAGACCACCAAGCTCTGTGAGATTGTTGTTACCTGTCGGAAAGAATCCTTGACCAAGGGATCCCTTTGGACTCGGTATGATATTCAACAAAGCATGTCTATTTGGAGGTGCTTTCCTGCCCTGGATCAAGCCCAACATCCCATTTCTGTTTAATACAATACACAGCGGGAGTCTAGATTCTAAGGAAATACATTCTTTCCAAGTAGTTGTCGAAATGGCTGAGTCTAGGGAAATATACAGCAATAGTTGTAAGCTGAAAGTCAATCTGGGGATGTTGTTCTTAGGAGGATGAGTAATTTATTAACAGACTTGCATATTCCTTTAATGATTCCAATGAGAGCAATGCAAACGGTGATTGAGTCAACATGCATTTTGGAATCGTCTTTTAATTTAATTAAATTTCCATCTGTAATTTGACCAGGCTGGGCCTGATCCTCATCTCATTTGAACTGGTGCAGCTCCCTTGAGACTTATGCTGGTTTACTCCAGCTGAAGATTTAGTCCATTACTTGTTTTTGGTTAAATGTAATCTTCAAACTATTATTGATCAGTGTGCATTGTATCTGTGAGAAGTAACCAAGCAAACCCAGCAGGGAAAATTGTGGGTAAAATCTTGCCAGACTGAAGCCAATTGGGATTTTGCAGTTGACTTTGATAGAGCCAGTGTTTCACCCTTTTACTTTTCCATTTCATTATTTTTGAGAACTTGATTAACTTGATTGATAAGAACTTGACTAACTTTACTGGCACATTGCAGTCTAAAGACAACATCTGTGCCAGATGCTCCAGTGCTAGTCTGCATCTGAAATTTGCTTCTATTTTTTTCCCCTCTCTCTCCAAGGTTTACAGGACTTGTCTTTCTGGCTATAACACTTGCTGGAACTGAGACTTTCTCAAACCTCCCAGCGAAGCAGTTCAGCGTGTACTATGAAACAACCTCTGAATTCCAATGACTGCAATGCTTAACTGCCCAGAGGGATTTCGTCCTCAAATTTAAGTCATTCAGGAGATGGTAAATACATGCAAGAGGTAATTTAGGCAATGCAATATACAGACTTCTCCAACAAAAATCCCACCAAATGTCTTTCATCAAGTTCTTCAGGTCTTGGCCTTTTTTTTAAAGTGGATATAACTTTCTATTAAATTCATGAGACTATTATAATTTGGCATTCCAATTGCAAAAGTACCCTGATTCTCCAACCAAGGCTGCAACCAATTTTGTTAGGTGCGGTACTAACTTATAAAAAAAAATGAATGAAAGCGGTTACAATCTAAGAATGCAAATGATTTAAATGGGGGAGAGGAGGATACAGTCCAACAGGTATCCTGTTATATTTTTGTAATAAAATGATAAAGGAAGAATCAGCTATACCCATCTGCCCGTCCACATGCTCATCATTAACTGGGTCATTTCTCATAGGCATTGCAGCAGAAATGGGTCTCGAGAAGGGATTTGAGGAAAGATTTAGAGAGGGATTTGAAATGTTTGGCCAACTTTCCCAGTAACGATTGTTAACCTGAGACGTCTAACTCTTGTATTTGTTATAAGTTTTGATCATGCATCGTTCCTTGGACATAAGCTCCACGCATGGTTTTGAATGTTGCTTTATGCAATTTATATTTGCCTGTTCTACATTGTAAATATGAGTTTGGATGCATGTTAATACAAGTCATGCTTCATTTTGGCTCACAGTAACGATGCGTTCTCTCTACCTGTGCCCATATGTCTACGTCTATAGCTACATAGGCCCATCTGGGGATCCAGCCTTCGTACTAGTTTTTCATTGAGTTGCTTTACCAAAAATCTGGAATTCTTCGAAGAATGAAATGCTAAAATATAAATCATTTTGTTTTTCATAACTGTCAGCACAAGAACTTTCTTGGATAAAGACATAAAAAATTATCTCTGGTTGCTGTATTTCATCAGATACTCACAGGCCTCTTAAAGTCACAGGCAGCATTGCATTATCTCATGGTTACAGCTTTTGCTCAAATTCTTTAACCGGGTTTTTTTGTTTGTTTGTTTTTTTGTCTGAGTAATAGGAAAGGGGGAAAAAAGTTACTTTGCCAATATTTCAGCCATCATGCAGCATAACTTTCATATCTATCCTTTCCCTGTATCTCTGTGTGATGCAATGCATGTGGCTTCCTGACAGCAGTTAGGTTCCTGGATAGCATTTAATTGAAAGGATCACCTGCACCAGCTAGAAAAGGTGACTTTCAGAGTAAACATCCAGACATCCACAAAGCATCTTTCTTAGTGGTATTGTTCTCATAATTTAAACTATTTTCTTTTAAGTGCTAAAACTTCTAGGCACGGGACAATGTGTCCAAGATTTCGATCCTTTGAAAGCCAGACCACTGACAGGTACTTGTGAACAGCGTGGAAACTATAAATATACCAATCACCTCCCCAGGTGCTGTGCATTAGAAACAGATGCACCTGCAGTTTTAAGGCTGAAGACATTAAATCAGTCGTATCCTCAGTACCCCCAGGATCAGTTTTCAAAAGGTTATTGTCCAAGTGTAACCAGTTGAAAGCCCCTCATGCAATCAGATTGCCATATATGGTCCTAAGCAACTTTTCCCTTCTTTTTTTCCTGTAAGCGGAATAATGGAAACATCCATTTCTCAAGAAAAGTTGGAAGCAAAGCCCTCCATAGAGCATACTGCACTCTATTTTCTTTCCCCCCTATTTGCCTGTTTATATTTGAGTGGGTGTCACCATTTGAATCAAAGGCCAGAATTGCCAGTATGATATGGAAACCCAATGAATAGCCTTAATATGTATCATTAATCCCACTTTGTGCCTGGAATTGCCTTCATGTTTAGCCAGAATGGGCGAGTTTGGAAACAGGAGACAGATTTGCTGCTTTCATTGAAAACCTTATCATGTGCTGATGGCTCCTGTAGCAAAATAAATAAATAACTGGAGTCCCTCCAATTAGAGTTGGCCAAAGCACTGAATTGTGGTTAGAATTGTTCCTTCTGACATAATTACAGTATCAGAGTCCCTCATTCATTGGGAAATATACTGTCAAACAGTAAAATAATTAGCGTGGATTGTAAGATCGCCATTAACATTCTACTGACTAATTAGGTAATTGTCACTGGCACAGCAATACCTATTAGGGAGCGTGCAATTTGTGGAAGAAGCTTTGATGGAACAGACTGCAGGTGCAGATGGGCTAGCAGCAGGACTCTTACACAGTGTAAACAAAGGTATTTTAATTAGCCATGTGACCCTGATCATTGGTCAAAGGTAGGGATTGTTCACTCATCTCCCCACTGCTTACTTCCTTTTCTATTTTTCAGGTATGATGTTGTAATGCTCCCTCCCCCCCATGTTAAATTCCCTAAAAGCTCAACTGCAATTGAATCCAAATCTTGATTTTTGCCATTTAATTCGAGTCTTGGGTAAATGAGCACTATGTTACATTTATCTGAGAAATTCTGTGTAGTTTCCAGGCTGTTTTCAGTTTGTAAATCCTAATTTTTGACGCACGACCTTCCTGCTAAAAGGATGTTTATGAGCTGGGAGAAGCGTATCTGATCATCAAGCCTGTTCTGCAGTGTGTGCACCCTCATCCTATGCCGAGTTATGTTTTTAACATGACGAAAAGAGAATTGCAGCTGGTATGATAGAAATTGCACCATTTGCCAGTGAATTGAGGGTGTAACCCAACACAAGTCACAGCTGAGATGAATTTAAATTAGGCAAATAGTGGTCATAAGAGAGCCAGTCTCAGTTTATGTGAATTACATCATAATCACGGTAGGGGAAAAAAAAATCTATTAAGTCATCTATTCCATTTGCTATGGTGGGATTGCTGCATATATTAGATGTTGTAGGACCAGGTAATGCAAACAGCAATCAAGGCAAAATGAGATATAAGCTCACTAACATATCTGTATTTCATCTCGTTTACTGGGCAGGAAATGAAAAGCAAGTACCCAAAATAGTACTCTGGGGGAAAACACTTTTGTACTTCTGTTCTTTATATTGAGGGAGCCATAGACTGTTTTTGAATGAATTATTAAGTTCTGATTCTCAGGAAAGTTATCACCTAAAACAGTATCTGTTTAACTGATCTTCTCCAAGCTGCATGTAGTTATTTAACCTCCAGTCTGGCAGACAGTTATGCGTATGCTATTTTATTATACCGGTAGTCCTGTTGAATTCAGCAGGATTGCATTTTTGTTGCATTTTGGCTGTATATTGTCTAAACAACGGGGCCCAGGTCTGCAGTGGATAGCTCAACCTGCTACTCTGATACAAATAGTAAAAATAATCTTTTCTCTTCTTTTTAGTCTTGTTAGTGCTGCAAAAAATCACAAAACATTAGGAGTAAGATTCAGGCATACACATCCTCTAGAACTGCTAACGGAGGTCTCATCTGGTACATCCATGCATGCATGCATAAATGCATGCCCAAAAGCTTGCTAAGAAGAATTTTTCCAACTATTTTGGTTGGTCTAATAAAAGATATCGGACTTACCCAAAGAACCTTGTCTGCCTATGTCCTTAGACCAACACAGCTACAAACTACAGCCCTGCATACATACCACTAACTTCAAGCATGAAAATAGTTGTAAATGCAGGTAAACATACAGAAGGTAACAAAGGCAGAATGTGATGCTATATCTCTCCTACTCTGATGCATGAATCTGAATATGAAGCATGACTTTTAACTTCTCAGAATCCAGGTTTGCATGGTTAGACAACACAGGTTTTTTTACCTAGAGCATGAGCAGATTGGTGCTGGAAGCACTGGGAGAAAATACACGTTGAATCCTACAGGGCCATTTTTATTGCCACCTTTGAGAGTAAATTCACCGAGTAGAGCTTCCTGTTATAAACCACTACTAAGCTACTAAAGTACAGGTGCTATAATACCGCAGTGAGGGTTATGGTATAAAACCCCACTCAAAATGCCCTGTATGCAGTTCTCAATAACTCCTCATTTCACAGCTGCCGCTGGACAGATTCAAAATTGAAAAATGTGCGACACTTTTGGATTACGCACTCACAGCCAGAGCTACGATATGACCAAACTATATTCCTACCCTGCTTGTAGTCTAAATATATATACTGTGATGTTTTTCCTTTAAAAGCTCACCATCTAAAAATATGAATATTCATCGAATCAATAGTAATAAATAAACTTCTTTTATTATCAGATTAAGTACCTTTGGCAATACTCTTTCATTTCAAGAGTCAGCTGGCTTATGTCACGACTTTCTGATGAATGCGAGTGTGTTTTCCACTTCTACCAGGCAAGGACTATAGAGACCTTATTGTCTGCGTGTGAAATAATGTATACTTGTTGGTTAATGAGTTCCGCCACCAGGAGATAATCCTCAAGTGACATTATGCCTGTCTGTGTTAAGAAAGAAATAAATAAAGGCTAAAACGAATGCAAATGCTAAACGTGCATTATAGCTCTCCTCCTGGTGCTGGGTTTGATTAGGAAGCCTGTTGCTTACCGTAGTTGGTAGATTCGCACATTAATAACATTATATGGGGATAATGTCTTTCTAAGCTGATACGGAGTTTAAAAGCTGGTACTTATTTTGCAATCCAGATTCAGTCTACTGGTCAGTCCTGTCTGGATTACTGCTACATTATGTAATCTGGTTTCTTGTATTTCTTGTTATGCAGTTAACATGTGGGACTGAGTTTTCCAGTGCGGTTTGGTAAACCTGAATTAATGAGGAAAATAAAACCCATCATAATAAATCCTATCTGAATTCTGAATGCCTTTCCTATGTAGTACGAAATGTGTAAAACCTAAGTTTTAAGGCCCAATTAAGCATATGAATAACTAAACTTGCATACTTTGGTCTTTCAGGGTTAGCCTGATTTGAAAATACATTAACTGCCTTTTCTATTCCATTTCAGTACTGTCTGCATGCACTTTCATCAAAGCTGAAACTCCTTCTTCCATAGCACATCTTGTTGTCTCCACTGCAAAACTTGCTGTGGAAGTGTTTTAAGAATGAGTGAAGGATTTATGACCTAATAATGATGCAGGTAACTAATAAACCAGCATACAACTGCTAATTGCCATCTTGCACCAGAAAAACATACTGTCTTTCGTTCAGTTTCATGTCTTCACTTCAGAGTATTCTTGATGTGATATAGGGGGGCACGCCAGTTTACTTTGTCCAGAAGCTTGAAAAAATAGACTGTAATTTCATTAGAAAGTTGCACGTGTTGAACAGCCTATGCATGTGTGTTAATAGGTAGTATGAATTTCATTTGTATTTCAGTCTTGGGAAAAGTTCAAATTTAGAAGCAAATAGCTGGAATGTGCGTATTAAAGACATGCCCAATGTATATCACAGACAATATTATTTCTGGTAAAATGCATGATTTTGGCATGAATCCAATTGTGTCATTTGTTTAGATTCCTAGGCCTTGTTCATTGACACAAATGTGGTGTCAGTCAAGTATACATCTTAATTTGAAAATGAAAGTGAAACGCTGGATTTTTTTTTTTTTTTATCTAAAGAAAATATAGACCAGGTACAGATGTTCAAAAAGGCTGAGGCAGACGTGATCTAAGTTTTGCATGTTAAGTGCCGTAGGTTGGGTCGGGAGTAAACAGAATAGATATCGCCCTTTGGTGGAGGGGGTGATACAGGCTGCCTGTACTAGGCACGGCCAGCAAGTTGAGTGTGCTTGCATGCTTCCCAGCCTAGCCCACAGGCTTCCCAGGTCGTTTGACCCCAGTACTCTTTCCTGCCATGGCAGGGGGTCGGACTAGATGATCTACTCACGTCCCTTCCGACCCTAGAAACTATGAAACTATGGAGATTCCTGAGTGCAGCTAAATGGCTGAGCCACACCAATTGTGTGGTGGGCACAGGCAAGCATGCCCCGTCCTTCTGCCATGTCACCACAGACCCTCCCATGCACCCAACCCTAGGCTTCCAGAAGAGTCACTGAGCAAAGCACCCACCATCATGATTTGCATGTGCCTCTGTGTCCTGGCCTGCCTGCACCTCACCAAGCAGGGAGACCCAAAGACTACTCTTCCATCATCCTGCAGGGCATCGTTGACCACCGGTACCACTTCACCCATGTCTTTGCTGGCTGGATGGGCAATGCCTATGATGCCTGCGTCTTCCGCAACTCCCCACTCCCTGGGCTGGTAGACAGCAGGTGCTACGCTCCCCACTTTCGTCATCGGCAATGCCACCTCATCGCCAGGGACCTGGGGTGCAGGGGGATGCAGTGCAAGGAAGAGTTGTTCCTTAGTTTAAAAAAAAAGTCACAGCTGCCAAACACTCTGTGTGTTTAAGAAATAAAACTGGTCGAGCATTGCCCGTCTCCGCTCGGTTCCTCTTCCCAATGAACACAAATCAGCAAAACTTTGTGGGGTGGCAGGGTGAGAAAGAGGTGGAAGACGCTGGAAGGGGTGGTTAGGACGGGGAGGGGAGAGGTTGTGGGGTCAGGGGGAATGCTGCAGGGGCTGAACTCAAAAATGCAAAACCCTGAAAGGGTGGCACAGGGGGCTTTTCACTTGGTGCACTACTCCCTGAAATCGGGAGTGAAGAGCAGGGGCTTCTCTGTGTAGGAGCTGGGCAGGGGGTGACCCCAGACCCACTGTCTGCATGAGGGAGATGTGGAGCAGGGGTGGCAGCGCTCCTCCCTGGCCAGCATCCAGGGGTCCCTCCGATAGGACCCCTCTTCCTGTTGCCCCTGGAAAGAGTGCCTGGAGCAGGGCATGCATGCCATGCCACTGGTGCTGGGAGGCAGCCTCTCCCACCACTCCCAGCCAGCAGCATCCCAGCTGTCTATGGGAGGCAGTGCTGGCACCAGTCAGGGGTGTCATGGGTATATGCAAAGTGGTCCAGGACCCTGTTCATAAGCTCCCTCTCCTGGCACTGCGACTCTCAGCTCTGCAGCCGTGGGTTGCCTCTTCCAGACAGCGGGTGCCCATCTTCACCCCCAGCTCCTGCACCTCAGCAGCCCTGACCATGTTCCATCACCTTCACATCTTGAGCCTCTCCTTGTGCTGGTCCCACAGCTCTGGGAGTCAGCGGCGCATGCCCAGAGCTCAGCGGCGGTGACCAAGGCTTGCGGCATCTCCTCCTTGCTTCTTCGAGTCCTCCTCTGGGATTCTCTCCTGTGTTTTGCAGCTTTGCTTTCAGAGGTGGTGGGGGCTGGTCTGGGACTGGGATGGGGCTGTGATTGTGCGAGGGGGATGAGGGAGCGGTACAGTGACTGCCTGCACTGTGAGACTTGGAGCTGCCCGGCACCCACGAACTTTCCCCAGGGACCGGATTGCAGGGGAAGGGGAAAGTGCTGCGGTGCCACTTGCCAGCATCTCCAGGTGCATGGCGCAGGAGTCATCCTGGCAGCGGGACCAGATCATCTGAGATAAGGGTTCCCACATGGGACTCCTGCCACCACATCTGTGCCTTTCTTGGACTGGGAGGCAGGGATTGGGGTTGTTTTGCAAGGGGGATTTTTTCTCACTCCTACTGCACTGTGGTTCTCGTAGATAGCTGAGTGTTATCTCCTGTCCCTGACCTCAGCGTCCTCTCTGCCACTTAGACCTGTGGTGCTGCCAAGCACCTGGGCTTGTACCTATTTCTTAGACTTTGCTTGTAGATCTTAATACTTACTACGTGCTCGCAGACCTTTCCACAAGTGCATGGGGAGAGGGGGCTCTGGTTCAGCACCACTGCTGTGACCAGCTGCAGCAAGGCTCTGCTTTTCTCAGGAGTAGGCACGGCACTGCAGCCCGGGCAGGGAGGTGTCAGTAATACAGATTGATGTTCCTGTAGAAGGGCAGATGGGCTGATAACCACCTGAGCCCAAGAAGGGGAGCAGGGCTGGCATCTCTGCGTTTCCCCTTGTCCTGGGTCCCTGTCCCTGCTGCATGGAGCAGGGATGACCCATAACATCCTGGTTGCACGATGTCCTTGCTCGTGGCCTGAGTCATCAGCAGAAGTATGGTTCACCATGGGTCCTGTGGGTCATGCTGCAGCAGCAGCCACTGCACTGAGAGTAGGGCGGGCTGGGGGTCGCTCTGGGTAGCTGGGAGAGGGGCAGCGAGGTGTCAGAGGAGTGGGAGGAGAACAGCTCTGCAAGGGAAATGCGTGTTAACGGAGCTCTTAGATGAGGATCAGGAAGGGGTGGGGGGAGCTCTTGCAAGGTGGACAGCATGGTGGAGAGCCAGACTCCAGGTTTGGGGTCTCAATTTCCGTGCTGCTGGAGCTTTCCCCCATTCCTGTGTGCCGTGCTTCCTGCTCTCAGCTGTGTCCAAGAAGAAGTCCAGGGAGTTCAGTTCCAGCAGCAGGTGCACCTTGGCCCCACCAATAGTGCTGTAGGTGTGCAGGGTCTTGACAGCCCTGTCCTTGACAAGGAAATAGGACAGCTCCTTGTAGAGGGGCATAGTTTGCTTCTGGGCTCTAGACCTTTTGTTGGCATTGTGCACGTGGTTATGCTGCATTTTCATCCACTTAGCCCTGGTGTGGCATTGCAACTGCATCTGCTGGGCCATGCACTTAAAGGCATCCCTGTTTCAGCATCCTTGCTGAAGCTGGTGCTGGATGTCCTCCTCACCCCAAACAGTGATGAGATCCTTCATCTCCCTGTAGTCCAAGTCGTGTGACCATGGTTGGGTAGTGGATGACGACAGGATGGGGTCATCCATGACCCATGGTGGCAGGAAGGCTGGAAGGGTGGATGGATGGAAAGAGCAGAGGATGTGTGAAGGTGTATACGGGCCTGGGCCCTGCTCCCACATGACTGGGGCTCTCCTGGTCAGGCCCCCCCACAACCTCGAACTTTCCAGCGGCTTTCAGCAGACACCCTGTGATTCTGGCAATGCCCCGTGCCATGGCCTGGACATCTCTACCTGCAGCATGGAGATAGTTGGCCATGCCTCACCTGCCCCTGGGGTTTCCTGCTTGTCCTGGCTTGGATGCTCACTCAGTATTCCCACCCCCACCTCAACTCCCCCTGGCCTATTATTCTGGGACTCTAGCTGTGGGCCAAAAAAGTCTTGCATCACACCAAGTGCCCATGGCCCATGTATCTGCTGGCAGTGGCCACGCTGTGGAGGTCACAGGGTTGTCTCTGTGCAGACCCAGTCCCAGTGTTTTGCCCCCTGCCACCCTGACCCACTAGAGGCAAGCTAACCACACTGGCTTCTGCTCGAGGGGGAAGGGGAAGCATGCTGGGGCCTGGGTGGCAGGGTGCCTGGCTCTGGCTACTGAGATGTGCTTTGTAGGTGCCAAGACCATGCTGCTGCAGGGCTGTCCCTGTGCATACAGCCAAGGGGGTCCCAGAGTAGGTGCCAGGGCCAGGCTCCCAAGGGGCTGCGTCGACACATAGGGGTTTTCCTGGGCTCAGCATTAGGTCTGTGTGTACATCATGGGGTGCTTTGTGATGGGGTGGGAGGGGGCACAACCCAGAGACGCAGGTGCCCAGGTGCTGGAGACACAGATGCCTCCCTCCTCATGGCTGGCAGCTGGCCAGAGGCAGGATGCAGGGCTGGGGGGGAGGATCTGCGCTGACCTGGATCTGTGAGAGCCCGGGGGCAGGGCCAGCTAGGAGCTTGGCCAGAGCAGCTGAGTGTGAGCCAAGTTCCAGCACGCCTCCTTACGAGGGAGGTGGTAGGGGCTGCAAAGCATCCTGGGATGCTGGCAGACCGCGACCTAACTTGAGTCGCTAGGGGATCTGATACACAAGCTGGATAGACTGGTCTAAGCTAAATCACTGACGTCTAATACCATATCGATCCAGGTCCATCTTAGACTGGGTTCTGCCATTTTTAAATCAGTCTGTGCATGCTGAACGTCTGTGGGGCTTTGGGTATAGACCAGTTTCTGATCACTTAAACAGGTATAAGCGTAACATCTGTACCTGGTCACAGTGTGCATTAGCTCTGGATGCTCTTAGGATTCACCAGTATTGCTATGGCCTTTTCTGTTGTGTGTATATCTTATAATTAAACCCCACAGCACAAATTCAAATGATCTGGAGCAGATTCACGGTATCCATTGTTAATTATTCTGTTTTTGACAGCCGTGCTTGAGGACCAATAAAGACCGCACCCCTGATGGCTAAGCAAAATAGCAGACAGTCCCAGCCCCAAAGAGCTTATGCTCTTAGCACTATTATCCTCATCCTCCCTCAATTTTCTCTGATTGCTTGTTA